AACCAAGATGGCGCCTCCTCTTCAGGACAACACCCAAGACGAAAGACAAACATCCTGGAAGGAAGTTATGCATGAATGGATCTAACCAATTATAAGCTAGAATGCTTTTGCAGTGCTACGTGTGTACACTCTGTATTGAATCAGGCCAGGCGGCAGATATAAGTACAGAACCTTAAGGTGCCCATACACTTTTGTCTTGCGATTGTCGTATGCTTCTTGAAAGCCCGTACGATCTGCCCACCTTGGACGGGCAGATCGTACTTGCGATCATCGAAAGCCCGCCCCGCTGAGGGGCGGGCTTCCGATGATGGCAATGCAGAACGGGCAGTGTGGGCGTGCGCACAATACGATTCTCGGCGGGTTTTTGAACATGTTGGCTCGACAAAAGACATGCGACCCTGCAGTAGAAACGGTCGCACGTCTTAGTTCACACTGCTCGATTCTCGTACGATCGCGGGATTTCGCCCGATTCTCGTAGGAGAATCGAGCAGTGTATGGGCACCTTTAATCCGGTCCAAATTCTTGATCAGGTCCAGAACAGGTGTATGGTCAGCTTTACAAGCACTTAGCGATCAGTACTAATTGCTTGCGAGTGTTTGGATATAACTAAGGATGTAGTATGCTTACTGTGTATTCAGGGGTGTGGATTTTTTTTTTTTTAATTACTTGTCCAAGGCTTAAGCTGGTCCCGAATCTACTCATCCCAATACAAAAAATTTTTTAATCAAAACCGGAAAGCTGGCTTCCCAGCCAATCTGCAAGGAGCTGGCTTCCGGGCCAATCAGGAAACCGGGAGGCAGGTCATTACTCGCCACCCTGCTTCCTGATTGCACAGGAAGCTGTCTCCATGTGCCCCTACGGCACTGCCGGTCAGAGGAAACCTTCCTCTGACCGGAAGTTCAGGTATCTGAGCATTTTGGCAAGTATAAGTACTCACCCAAATACTCTGCATCCCTAATCAAAACTATATTTGACTGTGCTAAATAACGCTTCTCATTGGTGACCACGCTGACCAAGGAGTGCTTGCAATTTGCAAGAGAAATTCAAAATACATAGGGCAGGACTGCGCTGGACAGCAGTACGGGGTACAGATAGTACACCTGTACTGGCAGAGGGTAAGAACTGTTCGCCGAAAGGCAAGTATAGCCGCCGAGGGGTGGGGGTTTGGTAGAGGCAGGGCGGCGGCGGCTCCCTACTGTACATTTAGGGAGTAAAATAATCAACTTTTGAGTCTGCCTCTTTGGAGGTTTACGTTCACAATAAGGGTAATGTTGCCAACAGGGGTTGAGAATTTGGTATGAAGTGGGGATTTTAGTTGAAGGGAACACCTATTAGCTTTGAGGATTAGGGGGATACCAATGTGAGAATAGTTTGTAGATATGGATTTTGTATTTTGATCTTTCACTTTATATAGACTTTTAGCAATGCCTTGTACACATAGGTAGGATATCTTTTATACTGGGGGGAAGAATCCCATACTGATTTCATTACCCCTGTAATTTGTTCTAGACTAGGTGATAGGGGTCCTTTGCATCGTCCTCGATGACCCCCCCCTTCCTGTGGCCCCGATGTCCATGGCATGGTCTCGGACGGAGTTGAGTGGGCTGGTTTGATTCAGGCCGCCATCACTTTCTCTTAATCCGGAAATATCTGTCCTCCTCCAGACATTAGTTGTTTGATAAGTACAGGGTACCCACCTTTTGGGGGGCCTCATACCTGTGGTGCCGATTGCTGAAACATTCTAATTTATGTTATATTAATTTAATTAATTGAATGATGCAATTAAATCAATTGATGTATAATTGTTGTTATTGTTAGATTAGCCCCCCGTGGTCCCCTGAAGAAGCTTGGTGCAAAACGCGTCGGGCCCGGATATGTCTGTTCCAGTAAATGAACAATGAAAAACTAATGACAATCAGTAAATGAACAATGAATAATTAATGACAATTATGTTTGCAACTATGGATATTTAATTAAGATATAACTGGTTGACGTTGGGCATATCCTGGGCACTTTGTGTGTGTTTTAGCCAATTGGGGTTTTTTATACTTGTATGTATTACAATCGATTCTTTTATATAATGTAATTACTGTATAATAAAATTTTGATATAATTTTTACACCTCTCAGAAACCCCTATTTCTCTGGTTTTTTTCTATACTGTACATTTAGCTCCGCTTGTCCAGAGCAGGGCTAAATGTACAAAAAAAACTACTAGCCCAGTGCTCAAAACTGCATGTCCCGGGTGATAGGAATTCCACACCCCATGCATTACTGCTCTACATCACTCTAGTTAATTCATGATTGAGGACATAGTAGCTCATACTATTTCCACAATTTATGAATGGGCAGGAGCGCTCAGTATAAAGGCTTCCAGTGAATCCATAACAGGGAGGCAGAAAAAAACATTTTGTTTTTACACTTTTGCTTATAGATTGCATAGAAAAACTCACCTCATAGTTCTAGCCGACCTGTGACAATGAGACACAATGAGTCACAGGTCGGCTCAGTAGATCAAGAAGTGAGCGAACACATACCAGCGTTCGCTCACCTCTCGATCCTGTCACAGCTCTCTGCCGTGACAGGGGAGGGGCTGGATTCCCCCCTCCCCGCTCCGATCTGCCAGCGCTGACTGGAGGATCGGACGGGGAAGGGGGCGGGTACCGCTGGCTCTGCCTCTAGATATGAAGAGCCAGCTTTCAGTCACGCAGCTGGGCGGATCCCGGCATAATTGTCGGGATCCGCTTCAGCTGCGTCGTCTCAGTATACCGCGAGCAGTAGCTCGCGGTATACTGAGCTTAGGGTGACGGGAGGACGCTAGTTTGTGTCCTCCCATTACCCTAAGGAGAACTATGGGTAAAAGCCCATAGCTCTCCTTTAACTGAACAAATTGGAGAGCTGATTTGTTACTATGGACAACTGCTACAGATTTTTTCTGTACCAATTTCGATAAATTGCCTTCAAAGTATATTACTTTGTAAAGAGAACTATGGTCAAACCTTTTTTGATATAATTATACCGGATTTTTATAGCACCAACAGTTTGCGCAGCGCTTTACAATACTTTTGGGCCACAGGAGTACATTTACTAATGTAAACATTTAAAGTGTATCTATAGTCAAAAACACATACATACATACATACATACATACATACATACATATATATATATATCTCTTACACAGGAAATATCAGAATATATATCTTACACAGAAATATCACAGGTCTAAAGAGACCCTTTGATATTTCCCTTTTAAAATAGAAAAATAGCTTTTTTGTTTAGCTCCAGCACTGAATGAACAGGAATCCTCTATACTGAGCGATCCTGTACATTTATACATTGTGGATATAGTGTAAGTTACTAGATCACTTCCCATTCATTCATAACTGGGACATAGTAAGTACACTATGTCCAGTTATTTACAAACACTCACTGATCAGCGAGTGTTTGTATACCGCTCTCCATCCTGAATGGGCCTTCAAAGGAGGAGGGGCAGACGGTACAGAAGGAGAACTCCGCCTCCTGTGGCAGATCACAGCGCTCCAATCACTGCTCCCCATCCTGACAGAAGGCAGAAGGTGCGAGAGGAGAGCTCCGCCTCCTGAAGACGACAGCTGTCACCTTACGCACCGCTCGGCATCCTGACATTGCAGTCACCGCCGCTCGGCCTCCATAAAGCTTCTCTCCTCTCTGCTGGGCATCGGTAGGCACACAGACTGGCGCCAAGCGGGGAGGAGAGAAGCTGGCATGCACTGAGTTTTCATCCGTCATGGCACTTTTGGCAGTTTGCCAAAAGTGCAATTTTCAGCTGAAATTTCAGTGCATCCCTAGTTTAAACTGTTAACAGTCAGGCGTTTTCACCATGTGTCTCTCATCGGGGAGATTTCACTTCCTGTCAAAACTGCTTAGATCCCCAAGTAGTATAAAGAAAAGAGAGCTGAAGTGGTAATCTCCAAACCATATAACACCAATGTGAGTGCATATAACAGTTATGTAATTGGCCCTGGATTACATGAACACCATTATACAAATTTACTGTACTGACAGTCCACGAGCAAATAACAGAGCACTTTGGTAAAAAGCACTTTGTTTAAAAAAAAAAAAAAAGGCACATGCAGGTAAACAGAACAGGCAGGTTTCATTTATGATTTTCACAAAGCTCCTTAAAGGAGAACAGTGTTTTTCCCCATAGTTCTCCTTAGGGTAACAGTAGGACACAAACTAGCGTCCTCCCGTTACCCTAAGCTCAGTATACCGCGAGCTGTACTGAGACGCCGCAGCCGGGGCGGATCCCGACTTAAACGACGGGATCCGCCAGCTGCGTGAGTGACAGCTGGCTCTGCCTATCTAGAGGCAGAGCCAGCTGTACCCGCCCCCTCCCCCGTCCATTCCGCCAGTCAGCGCTGGCAGATCGGAGCGGGGAGAGGGGAATCCAGCCCCTCCCCGTCACGGCAAGGATCGAGAGGTGAGCGAACCCGGTATGTGTTCGCTCACCTCCCGATCTACTGAGCCGACCTGTGACAGTCTCATTGTCACAGGTCGGCTAGAACTATGAGTTGAGTGAAAAGCACTCATCTCATAGTTCTCCTTTAACCGCAATCTCCAGAAGAACCCAGCCTGTATTCAAAGGAAACTTGTTTTGTACTTGACTACGCTTTTACAGATCAACTTTTTAGCCCAAAGTTACATACTTTATTTCGGTCTTTGGCGTAAATGGTTGTAATACCATGGTAATGTTATAACTGTATAAGATGTCAGTATATACACTAGCTAATGTTCCCTAAGGTCTTTCTTCATATTTTATAATTCTGGTCCTATTAGGAGGTATTGACCGTATATATCATATTATGTTTGTGATATTTCTGCATTATCTGGAATGTGGTTATCATTCAATAGGTTTTGCCGTTCGTTAACGGCCTGTTTCATGTCGAATTTTGTTTATTTTTCTTGTGTTTGCAAAATCAATAAAAACTATCTGATTTAAAAGATTTTCGATCTTACCCTAAACGTATCCAACGGCATCGCCTAACGCCCGCATTCTCTTCACTCACATACGCCTGCTCATGTAATTACTGCAACTAGAGATGTCTAAGCACTATGGCCCAAACCGTCAGCTTCCTGTTTTACGGCCATAAACCCTACTTCCGCTCGTTCGCGGAAAATGAGGTCACACAACGTAGAGGGAGGGGATAAGAGACGTTGCAATTTACCACAGAGCACAAGACTAGATAGGCGGTACCTTATTTGTAACAAGGCGAGAAATGTTTCTTCAAGACCGTTGGGAGGGACATTCTAATTTACCATAAAGTACGAACAGCCGACAGACTAGAAAGGCGATACCTCATCAGTAGTTCTTGATTAATTGATTGACTGACAAATGAACGCTGTCTTTGGAAAGTTTAGTTTAGTAAATGAAGAATGTGGTTCAGTATGCTAGCATATCACTGGTACTTTTTTTTTTAATTATGTGGTTAATGCTGATATTTGTTATTTGAAATTCCCTGAGATATATATAGTATTTTTTTGGGATTGTTAAACGTTTTGACTTGGTTTTGCCATGATCTACCAAAGCAAAAGTAGAATTAAACCTTTTTTTTTGCCTATATCTACTACTAGCAAGCAGTAGATGTATGCAAACACATTTAAAACAAAATATAAAAAAAGTTACCAGTTTATTACTTACCTCTGCCTCCGCCGCACGCTCCAGTCCAAAGATCAGAAGATTCTCCAGCAGCTGTGAAGGATAATGGGGCATTCGCAGTAGAGCTCTTTGGCCAGTGTTGTATCGAAAGTTCCAACTTATTGAGTTCTCCAACTGCCTGACTTCCGGTTTAGTTAGAACTTAGAGCTCTTCTGCACGAGGGCCAGCCGCGGCATTGCCCTATACACATACACCACAACAATGAAGTATTCAAATGAACTAGGATCACACTAATACAGCACGTTATTAATCGCAGGTGCCCCACTCAAGCGGCGGCCATATTGAGTGTGGCACCTGAGATTGATAACGTGCTGTATTAGTGTGATCCTAGTTCATTTGAATACTTCATTGCTGTGGTGTATGTGTATAGGGCAATGCCACGGCTGGTGCTCGTGCAGAAGAGCTTTCTTGGGCAAACCTCTAAATTCTAACTAAACCGGAAGTCAGGCAGTTGAAGAAGTCGAGGAGTTGGAGCTTTCGATAGAACACCACCTTTTCTTCAAGTGAAACCCGAACACGCTAGTGCTGCTTCATTGGGGTCTCTAGGTGACATTAGGGGTCTGAAAGACCCCTGATATCTCCATAAAGAGGGCCTGTCATGTCCTAATTGCTATTACATAGGGGTTTGTTAGCCCTCTACACGATAGCTATAAAATTAAGTGTAAAAAAAAAAAAACAAAGTAACAGAGAAATGCAAAAACATTTTTTAAAGTCCCCAAATACATACAAACACATGTCAGGTGCGCCTAAGTGCAAAAACAAAATCTGAGCCACACATTAAATATCGCCGCAAACGGTGTGAGAGCTCTAATTCTTGGGCTATCAATCACTGTTAACACTAAACTGATGAACAGTAAAAGCTTTTAAAGTGCCCCCATGGGGAAATTTTGGGTATTGTAGTATTTGGGGTTTCACGGACGCATGCACTTTTAAGCCTTGACATGTTTCGTATCTAATAACCCAACATAACCCTCTTATATTTTCCAAAAAAATTGGGTATTACTTTCTGTTTCTGTGCACTAGATTTCATTTTAGTGTATTTTATCCTAAAATTACTGGTTTGATAAACATTTGCTCAAATACTGGGCAACATTACAAATTGCAACTAGCATTTATTTTATTCTACAGGGCCTTTGCTTTCACAAAATATATCATTGTTTGGGGGTCTGAAACTGTTTTCTAGCCAAAAATTCAGATTTTATCATGTGTGTGCAAATGTGAGAAATTATTCTGGACAGGAAGTGGTTAAATGGAAACAAAATACAAGTCAGTAGTGGTCACCAAAAGGAACAGGTTACAAAACTGGTTGTAGAAAATTTTTACAGTCCAGCTTTGAAAAACACTAGAATGGTTCCGTTACATCTTCATTCTTTCTTACTATGGCACAATACTGTATATATGGATCATTTCTGCTATCCGTAACTTCAAGCAATGTGTTCCATGTTTAATTTTCCCAGGAATAGCTTACCTTATTTGTCTCTTGTTGATACCCATCTCATGTCAATACCAGTCTCATCATATAATCTGGGGTGCTGGTCCCAGCCCTCTTATCTTCCAGTTCTGCACTAAGTGAACTCCTCTGTTGCCGCAGTGATGAGCTTGTGCCTGGTAGATGGACAGACTGTGCTGCTGATCAGCGCCAGCTGTCTCCTGGGCTGCATGTCCCCTGTCTGGATGTGGCTGGATGGAGCTGCAGCAGTTCATGTGTCCCCAGGAAAGGTAAACACAGCCCAGGGAAACCATACAGAGCAGCAGCTTCCTCCTCACACATGCAGGAACAGCAGAACCCTGGGTTTGCCCCTGTCTGCCTGCATCTTGTGTCCGGTTTTCAGCTGACTTGAAAATCAGGCACAAGATTTCAAACCCGGACAGGTGGCAACCCTAGACACAGGGTAAGTCAATGCACGCAGCTCGGCAGCATGCACCTGCACAGACACCGCAGGACACAGAAGACACAGCAGTCAGCGCTGGATCATAGACCAGTACCAGTGCTGGAGGGACTCCTGAAAACTATTGGTAAAAAGAAGATGAGCAGATCAAAAGGAACCATTCAAGGTAAGTCCTTAAAGTGACACAAAACTCTAACTTTTTTTTTCTATTATTGTACTCTGCATATAGCATGTTCTCTAAATCTGATTTATTATTATTTGCAAAATTTAATCAGTTTTTTTTTTTCCACATTTTAAAAGTGCTCTGCGTGCTCCTGTACCTTCTCCTCTCCCTTTAGGGCTTGTTCACACCAATTGTGGTGCGTTCCAGAGCAGTAGCTGCTGGAACGGACAGCAATCGCACACTAAACTTCCCCCTGCTTTCCGGGGCACCGCAGCCACACCCCTCCCCTGCCCGCAGTGCGATTGGACACGTGGCAAAACATTGCCTGCATTTTTTTGCGTTTGCAGTGGAACATAACACAGTCAATGTTTTGCCACACATCAGATCACTCTGCGGGCGGGGGGCGGGGCTGCAGTGCCATTGACTTCAATGCACCGCCCCGCCCCAGAACAAAAGGAGCGAAGTTTAGCGTGCGATTACTATGCGTTCCAGCAGCTACCGCTCTGGAATGCACTGCGATAGGTGTGAACAATCCCTAGAGGGAGAGGAGAAGGTACAGGAGCTCTGAGAAGTGCACGCCTGTGACTACACCTCCCCCCCCCCACCGTTTAGTTTGGCAGATAAGCATCTCCTGCTGAGGAAATCCAGCCCGTTACACAGCTCACAGCGTGCAGAGTTTAGATGGGAGGGATTTAAGAGAGGAGAAATGTGCAGATGAGACGTGAGAGAGCTTCATGCATCGTCACGTCTCATTGTAGTTCTGATCGGGAGCTAGCACAGAGGGTGGCTACTTTTCAGCGCCCATCGGGACCATGGGGATGAAAAGTAGCGACGCTCTAGCAGGAACTTGTGAGACAGAAGAAATTAATCATTACCGTTATTGCTGCTTGCAGCTATATTTAGGTGGCCAAGTAACGAAGTTGCCAAGACACCTATTGATATTGTTATTATTAATATTATTATTATTATTAGGTGGCCAAGCAACGAAGTTGCAAGGACACCTATTGTTTTTGTTAAAATTATAATTATTTTTATTATTAATATTAGGTGGCCAAGCAACGAAGTTGCAAGGACACCTATTGTTATTGTGCTGATTTTTATTATTTTTATTATTATTATTCTGCCGATTTGTTCAAATGTGTAAAAGGTGCACTGTTAGTCAAAAATTCATGAAACTTTGCACAATGGTACAGCCCTGTGCTCTGCGGAGCTTATTATAATATAGAGGTCATAGGTCACATGATGTGGCAGCCATCTTGGTTTTTGCGACGATTTTTGTGAACTATTTAGAAACCTACATCTCCAGAACCGCTATAGCTACAGATATACAACTTGCTGCGCTTGGTTATGCTGTGCTCTGTTGTCACATGTGCTCATTGTAGTGCTATTGGTCACATGGTTTGGCCGCCATTTTGGATTGTGCACAATTCTGCAAACAACTTTAAACTCTGAAACCATTTTATCAGAATAACTCGAGGTCATAGGTCACATGATTTGGCAGCCATCTTGGTTTTTGCAACAATTGTTGCACATATTAAAAAACCTTCTACTCCAGAACCGCTAAAGCTACAAACCGCTAAAGGCTGTAAGAAGGGCACTGGTACTCAAAAACTCCTGCAACTTGGCCCCATGGTAGAGCTCTATGCTATGCCTACTTTTTTGCATTATAAAGGTCATAGGTCACATTCATTGGCAGCCATCTTGTTTTAGGTGACGATATTTAGCTCCATATTCAAGCATCTGTTTCTAAGAAACTATTACAGCTACAGATGTACAAATTTCTACGTAAAGTCCTGCTATTATCTGCACTCAAAACTGATCATTACAAGTCAATAGGTCACATGGTTCGGAGGCCATATTGAATTGTGTCAAATTCTACATATATAACTGTTATTTTGATGCTCTTTTTTTTAAAGTGCTAATTATAGCCACACCGTTATTTAAAAACTCAAGAAATTTTGCACAAAGGTAGAAAACAAAGCTATGTTTAATCCTTGGCAACATAAAGGTCATAGGTCGCATGCTATGGCGGCCATCTTGGTTTAAGTAAATGTTTTTCGGTCAATTTTCAAACATCTGTTTTTTCATAACTGCTAAAGCTACGGATATACAAATTGCTCTGTGAGGATATGTTGAGCTCTACAGTCACATATGTTCATTACATATAATGTGACCACATGGTTTGGCAGCCATTCTGAATAGGGCAATATTCTGCAAACAACTTAAACTCTGAAACCATTTATCAGAATAATTCAAAACTTTGCAAATATGTCCAGGGCGACCTCTTCTACCACGGTTGTAAAAACAGATCCGATCCCAAAATCAATA